GGAACGTGACCGCTTACATAAAAGGATGAACAATGTCTTACGGTTTTTTAAAATAAAGTATTGCATTGAATATTCGGACTGAAGAAGGATGAATTAGTCGGAGAGTTCAGGCGGTTAAACAACGCCGAATTGAGTGAGTAATAATTGAAAATTTGAGACGACTTAAAGAAGATCTACCATTCCTTTGTAGAAACCGTAGCCATCTATGCATCAGAAGCTTGGACAATTACAAAAAAGGCGGAAAGTAGATTGTTTTCCATGGAAATGGATTTCTGAAGAAGAAGCTGTGGCATACCGAGAATCGGGCGGATCCCAAACGCAGCAGTTAGAGACAAGGTCGGATTCCAAAAGAACATCCTTCTCCTGATCGGGACCAAACGGTTAAAGTGGTATGGCTATTTAATGCAAATGGATGAGAACCGCTGGCCAAAGAAAATTTATAACTATATACCACCTGAAAGAAGGAATGGTGGAAGGCCAAAGAAATGGATAGAGGACGTGGAGGAAAGCATGGCCAGCCAGAGGGATTCGTGAAGGAGATTGGATGGACAGGGAGCAGTGGCTTTTGAGTGTGGGGAATATGACTCCTTAAGTTGTAGAAAAACCGAAATAAAAAAATTTAAAAAAAGTGCGAACTTAAATTTGTCATTGATCCCGCAAGAAACTGAATACAGAACCGATTCCATAAAAATTGTACCCCTACTTATTTTCTAGAGAGAATTTTTACTATCTGATAATACAACAATAATTCTTACATTTTATTGTAATTCGGACATCGGTAATCTATAAACAATAGCTTACATTTAAACATAAAAAAATTCTCTCTTCTTTAATTAAACGTTTAATTTCACAGCCTTTGAAAAACAAATCTCTGTTTCCTAATAAAGCAACTCCGAGTTATCAGGTCTCAAAGCTTACAAAGCTTAAATTTAAATAAAGTATAAATAACATTACATACATTATGTAATATATGAATATACTTTTTTTATAATATTAAACGGGGACCCGAGAAAATTATCCCAGAGGTCTTTAGAAGGTTACTCTTCAAGGCCCTGAGAAGCATAACATGTTCCACGACGCATAACTACTATGTGTTAGTCTGACGCTATTTCTGGAGCATGGAAGATAAGGTTCGGTTTGCGCACTGGAATTGAAACTACAGGTGAAGTTTGAGAAGTCGGCTCTGGCTAAAATTACTGCCAAGGATTGTCTCCTCAATCCTGAGGTCTTAGGAGGATTAAACAGGTGAAGCAGTCTGTTGACAGCTCTTAAATATAATCCTCTTCTCCATCAGCCATCTCTCTTGGATCAATGTGGTTCTTCATCGTAGAATCGATCCCTGTTTGAGTTGTGCATATATTTAAAATTCTTGCGGAAACAAAACTTTCTAATGAATTCATGAACAGAAATAACATTTTTCCAAATAACAATTGGTTTAATAGTTTGTGAAAAAAAACTTTACAGAATTTAACGCATTTTCTTGGAAGTACTCCAATGGAGTTTGAAAATTCCCTCAGGGGGTGTAAACTTTGGACAGACAGGGTCTGTTTTTAAGGGCCGACGACAATGTTGGCCAAGTTGTTGAAACTTTGATGAAGTTCACATTGAGCGCAATCCTAACTGAGATTCTCATAGAATTCTATCAACACAAATTGAAAATAAATATACTTAATTTCAATCATATTGTGCAAAATAACAAAGCCTTTCCAAACATTTATTTATATACATACATCCTACGGTTACTTTTGACAAACACTAAAGATTTTTGGAACACTTCTGTAAAACAATAAGAAACATTAAGACAAAACACTAATGACTAAATTCTCAATTTTCGGCATCTTTAAGTAAAATTAAAAATGTATTTTTTCCGTTTTCAATTTTAATTGTGTAGTGGTAGTTCCAATTGGGTAGTTGGTTCAACAATTACGGTTCTGCTAAGTCAGTAAAGATCACTAATTTGAAAACATATATGTGAAATAAAGGTTTTCAATTATTTTTTTTTTTTTTTATAGTAAAGCAGAAAAATGTAAAATTATGAGTATGCGCCAGTTTTCGGCATCTTTTTTCCAATTTGTTGCACCCTAAAGGACAATTTTTTTTTTTTTATTATTTATCGTATTTAATTGCCACGTTTGTAAAAACTGAAAAAAAAAATAGAAAAAACAATTTCTTTAAGCTTGGAAATAGCACAACATTAATAAATAAACATGTTCTTTATCTATGCAATAATATTAAGATCAGTAAAATTGCAAGAAACCAGCAATTGTATAAAAAATATATTAAAACAAAATAAAATACTTTTTAAAGAATAAAATTGAACTGATTAAATATTTGATAACTTGAATAAAAATTTTTTTTTTTTAATCGTCCGCAAAATTTAATCGAATTATTTAAATTGTTCAATATAAAAAAACAAAGAGTCTCATAAATCAAATCAGCATATAATATATTAATGCCTTCCATAAATCATATAGTTATAAATAAAATATAAAGGAATTTCTGGTAACTTTGAGACTGAAACATAATTGCTGGTTACGATTGAACCCTCTTTTATTGACGAATATTATAGTTCTCCCGAATTATGAAATAATAAAATCGCCCAAAAAATATATACGAAGTAAAAACGTTAAGTTGAAACAATTATCTGATAAATATGATTATTGTACGCTAATAGAAGTAAAAATAATTGCCTTATTTATAAATGGTTAATTTATTTGAATAGGAAAATATAATTGTACTTTGATGCAGGTAAAAAAAAACAAAAAAAAACTGGAATTTGCAGTCAGCATTTCATCGCGAGAGCAAAAAACTTCAGCAATAAAAATCTCATCTCCTAGCAAGAAAGGGAAATGATTTCCTTATGAGCTACTGAGTTTTTTATTGGACGTCGATATACCCAAATCAATATTGTCAACTTCCAGCAGTGATGTAACGAAATGCACTTGCTAGCAACCCAAATGAATTTTTCACTACTCTTCGAGCGTTTTATAATATTATATTTAAAAAAGGAACCCACTACAGAAATTGGGTATTCCATCCACCCTTTTTTTTTTTTTTTTCTTCCCTACCTCGCCTTTTAGGCTATACGGGATTTTCCCGGGCCGGGGGGTGAGGGCGGGGAATTTAAAATCCCCTCCGGCACCGGGACGCGAACTCGTACTTTTTATATCATCTCAAATCTCTGTTATCCGGTTGCCAGGCAACTAGCGGTGTTGTGCACACGCTTTAGCCTATTCGGCCACCCCGCCCCCAATTCCATCCACCCTAAGGGAATGTATTTCCATACCTACTGAAATATTTTGGGAAATTGACATCTACGAATATTTGAACTTGGGGTAGAGATCGGGTTCCTTTCATTTCAAATCAATTAATAATCGAGATCATTAAACTATATTTTTTTTCTTCAGTATCATGTCAAAGTTAAAAATCGAGCATGTCATAATTTAAATAAATCTTTAAGTACCGTTCAGTCGAGTGATTAAATACACTTAACATAGTAATTTGACAGAATTTTGAGCTTCAATTATTCCAAAACACTAACGGAATCTCTACAAATAATTTGAGCCATCAGACTTAAAAACTTTTTTTTAACTTTGACTCCTATAATTACTCATAAAAAAAAAATGAAAAAAAAAATGATTTTAAATGGAATGAACCCGATCACTACCCCGATTTCGTAGATGCAAATTTCCTAATCAATTTACCAAAATGTTCCAGTAGGTATGAAAGTACAGTCGGATCTACGGGGGAGGAGGGGAGGGAACTTTCGGGCTGAAGCCCCCCAAAATGGTAAAATGTAATCCTGTTTTATGAAAAAAAAAATTTTAAAAATAGTTGTTAAAGTATTATTGTTCGAGTAATTAATTATATTTAATAGGTGGTAAATAATCAGGACGCAGTCTTTTTTTTTTTTTTTTAATTTAATTTTTTTTATTCCAACGTTTCAACCCTTGTGGTTCATCTTCAGAGCGTGTTTTGAACGTTGAAAGTTTGTATTGAAACGTTGGCATAAATAAAAAAATTAATTAAAAAAAAAAAAAAGACTGCGTCCAGATTATTTATCAACCATGATATGTAGAACAGTCGACAAACTTCTTTCAATAAATTTAATAGAACTTCAAGTATCACTTAAACACTATTTTACAAGCAGTTAGTTAGTTTCTTTTTTCATAACATTAATTATAGTTATATATATGAGAAAAAAAAAACAATCGGGCTGAAGCCCTCCAAAATTAAATTCTGGACCCGCTAGTGTATGGAAGTACATTCCCTTAGGGTGGACAGAATTTCCCTATTCCTGAAGTGAAATTCTTTTTTTAATTAAAATATTTTTTAACGTAACACGCTCCAAGAGAAGTGGAATATTCATTTGGGCTGCCGGCAATTGCATTTCGTCGCATCAGTGTCAGAAGTTGACAGTATTGATTTAGCTACATCGACGTCCGATAAAAAAGTTAGTAGTTCAAGAGGAAACTATTTTCCTTTATTGCTGACAGCGAATTCCTGCTTTTTTTTTTTTTGTTTTTTTTTTTTTTAACCTCCATCTAAGTACAACTATGTTTTCCTATACAAATAAACTAACCATTTATAAATAAACCAATTATTTTTATCTCCTTCACCGTGCAATAATTATATTTATCAGATAATTATTTCAAGTTATCTTTTAATTTGACCATTTCTTTATTCCATAATTCGGGAGAACTATCTTATTATCAATAAAAGAGATAGTTTTTTTCGTTCTTCCACTCTACAAGCTTGGTGTTGCCCTACGTTGCTCTCTACAAGCAAGGTGTGGTTGAAAGATCCCCTCAAGGCTATTAATGCTCCCGCAAGCGATATGTTTGTTACGGTAAGAATACCGCATCGTGCGACCGAAATCCCTTATGTTCCATAGTTCCAACGAAAAAACAAAATAATAAATGATTTTTAATAAAAAAAAAAATTGGTGAAAATAACATAAAACGAAGATATTCTTACATAATACTTATAGATAAAGAATTTTACTCACCGATATTGATCACTTCGCATGGGAGTACGATTGTGTCTGTGGTCGTAACTTTGAAAGTTTTCCCAGTCGTGGCGAACATAGGCATTTCTTCTTGAATATACTTTTCTTCAAGATCCTCTAGCCCTGAAAGACAAAAATAAGTAATTATTAGATAAATAAGTTATGTTAAAAAAATATATATTCATCATGTTATATTAAATTGGAACCGCGTAGCAACAAAAAAAAAGCAAACCTAATAACACTTTTTTTTCTTATACGAACTCTTATCAGTTCAATAAAAGTCAACAGCTTTTTAATAGTATTGTACGTAATGTATTTCAATGGCTTTACTTCCAGGAGCAAAAGATGATGCAAATATAACTGTTACGACTACCACTCGTATTACAACTGAAAATAAAACTTAATAATACAATATATTATCATTATTATTTTTTTTTCTTGCTGTTGCGGGTTGAATAACTGAAGTGGGAGACAATGTTCATCCATCTTTATATTATTTGTTGTTTTTAAATATTTAGAAATTTTCGAACTTATTGCTGTGCCTTTCTTTCCACATCAAGAGATTATTTCAGACTATCTATACCTGTCATCATTGATTTTGTTATTAGTCCATCAGTGTGCATTATAATTGAGGTGGTTGTGACGTTTTCCAAATGAAAAAATAATATATCATGATAAACAATATTATTTTACATTATTATTTTTGATTCAATATCACTATAAATATTTCAAAAATGTGATATGCTTATATTAATACAATATAGAAACTAATAAATGCAAAATAATATAATAAGCTAAATGTTAATATTGGGTACACAGGGAGTAACTAAAAGATTAGATGAAAATATAACACTGGGACAAATTAATTTATGTTTAAGTTATATGAAATTCAAAAAGGAATTCTAGAGGATGATGTAACAGATTTACTTAAGGGAAAATAAACATCTTCCTATATCGACAACTTTTAAGGAAAGGAGAAATCTGAAGTAAAAAAAAGATAAAAGGAAACATTGCCTTTTATAATTCTTTTATTCCTTATAAAGATATATACATTGGAATAGTTGACAAGGATAAATAATTATTTATTATAATTTTATAATATTATAGTAAATAATTATAATAAACTTAAAATTTTTATTATACTGTTTTATAGAAATTTTCTAATACATTCTAGAAATTTATATTTATCTAATGTGTTTCGATACATTCGTGTTCGATATATAGCAATTTTTCCGTGTGATCTTCCATTAATTTTGTATATATTTCGAGACGAAAATGCGACAATGAAATGTAAAACAATTCAGATTTTGATATAGGTCAATCATAGCAGAGATGTCTGATAATATTTGAACCGAAATTATGAGAGCGAGGAAAATATTGTAGAATGCTAACAATGAAAATAAACAGAGGATATTAAAAATTCAACGATGTTTAGCTTTATAATCATCTCAAATGTATATTAAAAATCACTTAAGAAATATACCTTTTATTAAATTTCAACGTAATGTTAAATCATTCGCTTTTAGTTTCCAACGAATATTCTAACTTAAATCAACAAAGAAAATCAAAATAATTACTTCCAAATTTAGTTATTATCAAGTTTGATTTCATTTTGTACAAAAAGAAAAAAAAATACATATATTAAGAGTCTAATAAGTTATTAACTAATAAGTTTTTAAGATAAATTAAAAGACAAAAGAAAAGAAAAGGTGATTCGTCCAAGTAAATGGTGCGATTAATTAAATGAAAAAACCAAGAACAGCCTCAGGGAGTTTACTAATTAATGTAAATCGCCCTTATCAATTTTTCATAACTCACTATTCCATTTTATTCATTTATTAACTCGATGAATTTTAATATTCCACCTCTTCCCGCCTACAACGAGGTAAGAAAACAAAACAGGAAATACTGGAAACACTTAACTTTCTAAAAGCCTATAAAATTATTCAGTTGTAACAATGCTCTTATACCTGATTTAAAAGGAATGAAATTCCTTTTAATAAATGGATTCTTCGAAATTGCCTTCACTTATTTTTACTAATTATTTTTTTAACCAAATTCACTCAATGACTATTTATTATTTTCTCAGAGTCTTTGAAAAGACATCTAATTTTATTTCAACTTCATTCGCGAATGTTCAATGAAAAATAGCAATAAGTAGATTTAAATTAGATTTAAGCTTTAGTAAATAAATTAAGGTTTAAAAATACCACAATATTTCTAAAAACATATTTGGCCATAAAATCTTTTCAACAAAACAATTATTTTATTTAATTTTCAAGTTTCATTGCCTTTCAGTTTTTATAAGCCCTTTTCAAATAGTCTAATTAAATACAACTGTCAAAATACACCATTATTAATTATATAATGTACTATTCATTACCAGTACTTGTTAATAACGATTTGTTTAGTGTTAATATAAAAAAAAGATATTTTTATTTCGACAATTTTTATCACATTTATCTTTAATTCATTTACCTAGTTAAAAAGGAGATATTCATATTTATTTCTAAATGAGTTAATTTACAGTCAACTTCGATACTACTCTTCAAAACTTCAATACTACTTAGAACACATAATTTAGACTACTCCATTCACCTTGTTCCTTCGTCATCTTTTGTATGCTTAGGACTAGCAAGCCAGGCGTTCATTTAAAAGTTTATTTAATTATGCAGGAAACAATATAGGTAACAAAGTTTAATAAAAGACCTTCATCTTAGTTGGCAAGAGATGTCTTGTGGGAGAAAGCCAAATATTTTAGGAAGGGAGGATCAGAAGAGGGTGGCATTGCGCTCATAATATTTTTTGAGGGAGCACATTTTTCTGAGCGATATGAATTAATAGAAGAAATAATAATGTTGTGAAATTTCAATTTTGAAGGAACTTCAGAACCAGAGATTAAGGTAGGAAAATTATCGAATAGATCATATCTGTAATCTGTAAAAAATATATAAACTACAATTTATCCAAGTCTACTTTCACTTCCAAAGTTTTCCAGAATAGACAGCATTAAAATTTCTTAAGAAAGGGACATGCGCCGCCTACCTTGGCAGAAAGGGACAGACCTATTTAGAAGAATATCATCAATACATTCCAACTTACATAAAAAAATGAAAAAAATGTGTTATATATATATATATATATATATATATATTTGTTATTGATAAATCACTCTGTAAAAACAATATATAAATATATATAAGTCTACTCTTATATCGATAATAACATCGAAGTAGGCAAAATGACAAAAAAAAAATACAACAATTCTATACACATTCTATAAATAACCGAAAGTTTTCTTTAAAGGTAAGCGATCTTTTCCCTAACAAGTTTTCTATTTAGGTATTCACCTTAGTTTTGCAAGTGCTCATAGCACATCCACTAAAGACTGTTAGTATTCATTGTCAAAACGAACTTGTACAACTGAATCTATTAGTTTATTGGTTGATGAAAAGGATTTTATTGAATTGCAAATGATAAAATAATATGTAGCTACAACTTTTAATATAGTTTGTATAGTGCGTGTATGACTTGATCTACTGAAATATTTTTATAGAACTATCATTCTTTATTCTTCATCCTATTCCGAGTGGTATCACAGCATTTTTCTTTTGCTTTTCAACCCGGTTGCCCAAAATACGCAAGAGTTTTAACACCTAACATTCATTACATAGCAATCATTCTTACTAATCTAGATGCACTCCCGTCGTTAGCTGACCCGGTTTTCAGTTTCAAATACAGTTACCGTATTTTCTTTCCAAGATCCATAAACTTCATTAAATAATTTATTCATGAATGAACTTTGCAGCAGCTGGATGTCCTTATGTCTTTATATTTATTTTATGCAGTTAAACTATTACATCTCATAACATTGATTCAGGGTATAAATGAAAATACATGGAAGTAAAATCAGCCTTCTTCTTCTACTTTATTTTTTTAATCTAAAAAATATAAACATTGCGGTAAACGGAAGATCATGTTTCATTTATCAATACTTTTCTAACTTTATTTATTTAATATTGAAAAACACAAAAGAAAATCTTTTCAACTCATTTAAGAAAACGCTTTCTGATATGTATCGTATTGTATATATGAGAAAAAAATATATATCGAGAAATCATTCGAAAGAATTTTTCTTCTTTCATCTCAAAGGTGAAATTGAAATATTAAGGTCGTTACGAAGCATCCGAAATGCATAACGGAGATATCGGGAATAAAGGAGGCACGAAAACTGAAAAAGCCTTTTTTATTCGAATAACTCTCCCCCCATCTCATTTAAATAAGTCGCCCGTAAATAGGGCGTTTGGAAGTTTGGCTTGGAGCGGGGCCAGAGCGGGAAGACATCTGTGACCCAAGGAGCCAGTTAAACCCTAATCCCTTCGAATTAACGGCAGAAAACTAGACCAATTAGCACCGCGATAATCCCAAACGACTTGGATCCTTTATTATTCCCTCGTTTTCAAAAAACGTGTAGCAATCAAAGTCATTACAGGCCATCGTTTTGGAATTAGTGAGGCCAGAATCACAACTCAAGTAGATCCATACTTCAGAAATAACAAATATGAAAAAAAAATTATAACCAAGCAGGAAGCAATGTGACTATTCAAGTTGTAACAACTTTCATTTCCAAAAAAAAAAAGTATTTTATGTTAAAAAAAAGTTTTGATTATAAAGAATGGATAACATAAATCATAATAAATTGTCCTTGAAGATATAAGAACCAGAAACATCGATAAAAAGAAAAAATATATACTATTTATATAAAGAAGAGATGTCTTCTTAAAAAAAAAAAAAAAAAAAAAATGGCCTCACTAACTACTCATCTACAAAAAAAAAATAAATAAATAATAATAATAGCTAATAATTATATCTATAGATCTAAAATAACATAGAATACATTCCAAAATATTTCATCTCAGTGAATAAAAAATAATATCAAGTGACTTTCGATCTTTTTTCAACATTGATATTAGGAAAAAAAATTTTAATTAAATAATTTTTTTAATTCCAAAAGTTATTCTCATTTCATATTAATTTTCTCAATTTCAGTATATTTTGTAAAAATTATAGACTCAAGCAAAATTGATGAATTGATAGTATTTAAAATTTAAAATTATAGTAAAAGAATTGTAGATTGGATTTTGATTTAATATTTTGTATACATATACAAATTTTTAAAAGTGTTCCTGCTTTTTATTGGATTTATATATAATTGAAGTTAAGCCGCTAACATTTCAAATTATTTGGGTATTTATCAGATATGGGTATCAAAGTAGATAATATTTAGTACAAAAATGAATGACTAACATTAATTCATAGAAATGTATTAGAATTTCAGATAGAAAATAAGGCTTGATTGATAAAACTAGCCTTGATTGACACATTACGTTTGTCCAAAAAAACATAAATACCGAATAAAACAGCTTTCGTATTCTACTATATCTTCATTTCATTTAGCTTATATCGTCGACAAACAGGCTCACATTAGTTATTTTAACATGGTTCCAACGAGATGTACTATTAATCTAACATTTCATTTTTTCGAGGAAGGAGATGGTCCGGGGTGGCGGTCATAGTGGAAACACTAGACTAAAATAGTTGAAATACTATTTTATTTTAAGCCAAAGTTTCGACCAGACTTTGCAGGTCTTCTCAGTACGCCTGGCTTTCTTTGCTGATCAGTCTAACTGAAATTCGTTCCTTGGGGGCACTATTTTCACTCCAACAGAAGCGTTTTTATGAGTTTTTTTTTTTAGATAATATATATATATATATATATATATATATATATATATATATATATATATATATATATCACGAAATACAAAGCAGCCTGTCGCCAATGCTAAAGGACTCTAACTCAAAGACATCTCGTTACTGAGGTAGTGGGCCGAAGAAACAATATTGCTCCCTTTTTTCCGACTCCATTCTGAAAAAAATAAACTTTTTTTTACACCTCTTTAGGGAAAAAAATATTGGGGAAACTTTCTACTCCTTTTGAGATATTTTCCACTTTTATTCCATCCCATTCCCAAGTTGTGGAGTTAAATATTCAACAAAAAAAGATCTCTTGGTTGCGGATTAATTCCCATAAATGTCCATTTCGTTATTCGCAGTTTTTCCGTTAGGTTGAAATTTCACTATATTTTAATATGAGTTTGAATAGGCAGTATAGGAAGTCGTTAATGTGTAATCTCAGTAAACAATGATTTTTTTACGAAGTTTTTGCCTATTGAGATTAAGAAAACAAAAGACACAACGAGAAGATAGAAAATAACAGCCTTTGGGGATAGTTTATATTACTTTATACAATACAAATTTCTAAATTTCTATATATTATATATTATATAGTTTCAATAATATATCTATCATAAAATTAAAACTAATGAGAAGAAATGATGATTTGAATGAGAGAGAAACTTTTTTATTTCAGGACAACTCGACCTTACTTACTTACTACCCTTTAAGAATCCGAATAGGATGAAAGTGACACTACAGAATTTTTCAAACAATTTAGAATAGGTCAACATCATACGGTTAACAATTTTAAGTAGAAAAAATGAAATATTTTATTCAAAGTATTGAGTACCAATTCCATGGTATAGATGAGTACAATAAGTTGAAAAGTATTAAAAGAGAGACTTATTGTAAAGCTTGGAAAAGTTCTATTGGAAAAAAAAAAATAAGAGAAGTTGTTATCACCTGACTGGGAATTGGCCTCACGCGAATGACACATGGGTCCCTCATCGATAAATCAACACATCCGAAATGTGAAATATGCAATGTGTAGCTGACGATTTGTCATGTTTTGCAATACTCCACATGATACGAAAGTTTTTTTCATAATCTGGGAATAGAACGAAATTTCGAAATTATTTTGAAAGATAACAGAATCAATATAAAAACAGAACAATAATATATTTCTGAAAAAAAAAATCAATATATTTAACAATCTATTATTTGTGAGAAAAATAAAACTTGAAGGACACTAAAAAACCACAACTGTTGAGTGTCGATAGGAAACTTAACATAACCTAACCTATAAGACTTAGTAGCTTTCAAAATTCTTAAGCTCGTGCTGATAACATGTATGGTACATACAATGATTATGCTTCTACCCATCGATATACAACTCAAATCAGAACTAATTTACGTAGAAACAGTTAGATACTCCGTATAATAAATACAGAAATAAATATTGAAAAGGCGTTCTGGTTAGTACCCTCATTAAGCTCCTGTACATACGTGAAGAAGGAAAGCTAATATGTGAATTCAGTCTTTCATAAGCTCTCTTTATATTACAAAATTGTTTATACGATTTCGTATGCGTTATCAAAAGAAAAAAAAAGTTATTTATGATAATTTTTTATTTATATATCGTACATTTTCTACTAATATTATCAGGAGGATTACTAAAATTCAAGAACGCTAAAAATTAGGTCCAGTCAATAAATAAATAAAAACTTTAAAAAATATTTTCGCAGTTTTGGAACTTTAATACTTCCATATTCATAAACAATTTATACTTACTACATTTGAAAATAAAATAGATGGTAAACAACACGGCAAAATTTAGAATAAATGTAATAAATATACAACTATTTTTCCCAATGTTTAAAGAATTTATTATTCTCATATTCATAGACTAGTGAGTGGCTTTATATCAATGGCTTGGGCATCTATAAATTTCAGAGACTAGAGAAAAAGCCACTTTTTATAGCTGTATATCTTCATCTCAAACTGTTTTTGAATTTTTTGAAGAATCGTGGAAAAAAATGCAATATAATTAAATTGAAGCTAGGCTACAAAAATTGTTAGGTTTTTTTCTTAACGTTTTAAAAATGATACATGTTCTTGTTTGATATGGGCCACTCAAGTGTTGAAATTTGATATTCCCTACATTAAATTAATAAATACAATTCGCACTGCATATAGTTATCAAACACCAAATTAATAAGAAAATAAAATAATGCAACGTATTAAAAGATTAAGAAATCAAATGTTACTTTATCGATAAATATAGTCGATAAAGAAAACAAAAATTAATTTAAATCTTTATTTTTGTTTGGAACCAACATGTTTACAAATTTCAGTAAGCTGTTACAAATTTCACATCTTTGCTAAAAACTGTCCGATTTCGATGATTTTTTTTTTCATTTTGTAAGAAATTTAGTAATCGTTTATATGATCATGGGCATAAACAAGGGAAAAGTGTATAATTTTTAAGTTATTCGCAAATAAAGTTTGTTTTCTTTCATAACTTGTTTGCCTGAATTTTCGAGGTGATTGGACTATTTTGAACGCCTGAAGGAGAAGGAAGCCTTCGAAATCTGTGGCTCAATCATGAGATTCGGTGGCAAATTAACGATGTTATGGCTTGCCGATCAAAAACACCATCGATAAATAATATAAAATCCTCCTCTCTCGATCATAGAGAACTCAAGTCGACGAAATGAGACATGTATTCAATGACAGTACTACAATTAATATAAGGTTGTGTGGATGCGAACCCTATGCCTCGCATTATCTCGAAAATAGTACGTTTTTGGGCTTGAAAACGCAGCATCCAATAGTTCCAGAAGAACTATCCGGGTTTTGCTGTACGCATCCAAAATTTTCAACATCCAATTTGTCCCTTATCGATCTACAGACCTACCACCATTCCAGTATTGAAGCCTAGCAAAATGTTTATATCAGCTTCATTTATTTTAGAAAGAAAAACAAAAGTGGAGAATACGATTCGTTAAATCCCTGTGAAATTCTGAATACAACGGTACCACATTCATGGTATTTGAGCATGACCGGAGATTATATTTAATACAAAACCGATTTCGAGTCTTACTGAAATAATAAATGTGGGGATATGGCAAAAGGAAAGGTTGAATACATTTTAAAAAATAATAAATATCTATAGTTTTCCGACTTTTTGAGACAATATATATATTTTTTTTATATATATACATGACCAGTTGTTGATAATTGATATTTACAACATTTGAGTATTAGATAAATAATAAATTACACTGCCAAAAATGTAATGAAAGATTCGATAAATTCGATAATTTATTTCTTAATCAAATGTAGGATCTGTTATCCAAACTGACCTGTCCATGTATTTGTCCAGATAAAAGGAAAGTTATATAAAAGAATTTTTAGAACGGAGTCATCTCATAGCATCTCGAATGATTTTCTTTCTTTCCACCCACAACGGAAAACTCATCCTCCCACCATTTTCCCGGACAGAGAGAGGCAAAGAAACGGGCGCAGATTAGAAAAAGAGCCGGATCGAAAGACATGCTCCCCAGTGACGGTATTGTCCGCCATGGACACTTGGACAATGTATCCCGCTGGCCATCACGTAGGGAACACTTTTGCACGCCCCCTTGACGAATCCAGCACTTCTTGTCTGCTGGGCGTTCATCCACCGTATCTAAATATCCGACAATGGAACGGGATGAGTGGGGTGTTACATTTCAATTCCAGTCTGTTTCGGTTCCTGCCTCGCTGGCTGAGAATCATTAATTACTTTTGATACTTTAATTAGTTTTCAACATCCGAACGATAGCTCTGATGATAACCCACGTGTTTGAAACGAAACTGAATAAATATTATCGGTACCGAAATTCCTAACAATTTTGTTTTATCTTAGTAATTGATCAGTCGACTATTTGCCATTCTCTAATTACTTTTAAATGTTATTATAACAATCACATCAAAAACGGTAAAGTAATTTTCAGTAAATTATAAAGTATGACAAAAAATAGTTAGTATTTATGAGACGATAATATATTAACCAAGCAGTAATGCAGTTTATGAAATCGTAATGCGTAAATTGTTTCGAATGGTATATTGACAAACCGTCCAAAACTTAGCAAAGAAAAATCAGAATCAACACGATTGCCAGAATATTTACATAAAGGAGCCTAACACTCCTTCAGTTCAATATTCTAACGTATTTAAACATGAATTTGATTTCGATAATGTACTAATGTTAGAGAAAGAGGTGAATAGTTCTAAAAGAAAGATATTTGAGGCTGTGCATATTGCACAGAAGTTGAAGAATGCTGTTAATTACAGGATTGAAAGTACAAATGCTAAACATCTTTTAATTTGTCGTTATCAGATGTTTTTTAAGATGATCTTTCTTTTATGTTAATTTTCATTTATTCTTTTTTTATTTTGGTATTTCTTGTTATTTGTATTTTTCCTGATGTAATGATATTTTACAGTTTGTAATAACATGCATTTTCGTCTGTCTTTATTTTGTTTTTCAGCTATTTGTCTGTAATCTTCATCTGATTTGCTATCTCAGCTTTCATCCAATATGGGATTGGATGTCATGGAGTTAAATATTATTTGGTTTATTTAATTTTTCGTCCTGATAATCTTGAGATGAAGAAAAGTTAAAGGATTATTTTATTTTTCACCTGTATTTTATAAAGACCAGGGAATTTTTCAATTATAATTAATGGACAAATGGGTAATAATGAGTTTTAGTACTTAATTAAATTAATTAAAATGATAAGAAAAAGGTTTCTGAAAATTTTCGTAGACATAAAGGTTGTAGGTTACGATAAAAGCCATTTACGAGGTTTTAGACAGATGTTAATAATTTTAGAAAAGGGGGTCTGCACCGTGGACTAGAAAAGTTCATTTATAAAATGCAAGATTTATTACAGAAAATAGTCAACGTATACTTCCAAACAAAAAGGTCCTGTACACGTTTTTTTTTTTTTTTGTAAGACAGGTTGGTCGTTTTACATACATTAGATTTGTTCGTGAAAATATATGTAATACAAAAAGAAATGGTAGAACTAATAATATTACCAGCGCTGATATGTGGAAGCCACTGAAAACTTCTTTTTCAACTCAATAAAAGAAGTCACATTCTCTACGATAGTAGCCATTTACACTGGATTTACTGCATCTGATAAAAAAGCAAGGCTGTATCTGGAGCAACCCCAAGCCACTAACAAACAGCGAGGGAAAAAGAAGCGGCCTCCAGGAGGGTCGGATATTACTAATGAGGGAAGATATTCGGCTGGAAATGGTAGCTATAAATTACCCAAGGACTTTCTTGGGGTGTTCCTCCTAGGGTTTAGCCGAAGGATCCTGAAATAGAATTAGGTGACACTACATTAAACAAATAGGGTATTACCGCCTCTGCCAGCCTGAATTATTCACAAGGATAACTAGTTCCTTAATCGGAACAGTTTTCAAACATAACCTCCGCCATTAGGTTCCTTTTATTGGTAGGCGATCTTCCTGTTTGTTTCCGCAGTTTGCTTTATTTTTGTTTTTTCCTTTCCGAGAAAGATCTTTTTTATTATAGGAGTTCTAAAATATGGCGTCTACGAAATTATTGTAGAGTTGCGCCAATAACCATTGTGTTCAGGACCAACCGGTAGACATAAAACTGATTTATTAAAAGCAGGAAATTCTGAGTTCCACAAGTAATAGTGGGGCTAAAATAAAGTGGTGTTTCTTTAACTTTTTATAAAACAAACTATAGATTAATAAACTTTATTCTATAAATTCTCTTTAAAATATACTGGTTTTAAGTCAACTTAACAAGACTGTTGAGAGAAAATAATACATTTTCAATTATATTTTCAATGAATTGAATAAAGCCTAGTGACGCTTCTGCCATCTAAAAAAGCAAGGAAAGCTTGGGAAAAGTACATCTATGGAGCCAAGGGTCTTGAAGGTTCCAAGTCAAGTTGAAGACATGCCTGGCTAACATTAAAGATACTTTGGGAATATATATGAATATATGTATATATTGTTTTGTCTAATAAAAAGATAAAAATGTAGAATTTCACCATCGACCAATAAGTCACTTAGAAGAGAGTAACAGAACTCGCAGAAGCAACTTCATAAACTCGTAAGTACAGCATTATAAAATTCGCCTAGCAGCCAATTTAATACGTAATATGCAAGGGTCAAACCTAATTTAACACACTAACACTACTATATATTTTTTTAAACAAACAATGAGTTTTGGTCTCACAGTCTAAAGCATCTACGATCATTTTTACGTTAAAATATAGTAATACTTCATTTAATATCCACATATCATTTAGTTTCTATATATATACAGTTTATTAGCAATAACATCAAAAGAAACCAATGAAATTCAACTTTTATTGCAAAAAAACTGCAATAATCATGGAATGCTAAAATAAAACCACATGTATCAGGCATTTGATGAACCATTGCCCTCTTGAGGACCAAATCATATTTGGACCAAATCAGTTTTTACTCTCAAAATAGAAAAAAAAAAATAGTACAAACACTTTTTATTACAATTTGATTTATTACCATTAGTAACTCAAGGAGCACATCCTGATTAAACTTTAATTGAATGGACATAGGTGAAGATGGACATAGATGTACGCCCTGTCAACATGTATATCCTGGTGAATATGAATATTATTATTATTTTATATATTCCTTAAATAGTTCACTAGAAATAGCGGATTTTTATATTCCAAAAGCAATTTCAACTTAAGTATGGTTGTCATAGCTTCATTACCATTTCTGTTTTTTAAAAGAATCTTATATTTACGCTTCAACCACCTGTAAAGGATGGAAGTGACCATTACTGATCAATATTCATTTATTTTCAGAGTTAATATAAAGTCACTTTTACAAAGTAAATTTATTAATCTAGTAACAATATGAAGAATAAAGCCAGGATAATATATAAATAAAACAGAAATATCTAGATAACTTTATAACATTGAAGGAGTAAGGAGAGGTTAAGGATCCCTAAGGGGAAAGAAACGATTAGAGAGCGTGTAAAATTGAATGACGGGGTGCAAGCGGCTCGTGTGTTAGCACAACTTACACCAACTTAAGAACTCGCGTCAGCAACACCTGAAAAGAAACATCTACCAAAGGACCCAGAGAAATATTGTCATGGAAAAAGAACAACCCACTACAGTTAGCTGTTTCTGCCAATCCACAATAGTTTGTTGGACGAGTTTTAATAATTCTAGTAAGTATATACACTTAAAACAAAAGATACTAATATTTTAACATAAAAGTTATCACAACAGATTAAATTGGACAAAATTGTAATAAGAATATTTACTCATTTTTAATAAATGTTCTCACATTTTTAAAGTGTATAGGAAACTTACAAAAGCCAATAAAATAAAATAATAAATATATAACGAATTCACATATTAGATCATTACAATCCTACCTTATGTATTTTTTTTTTTTTTTTTTACATTAACGTTTCATACCTTAGACTAACCGACAAATTTAATAAAATAATATATTTAGTAAAATTATTCTTCAAAACATTATATTAATTCTAGATGATCGAGTGGAACCAATAAACTCCAGGAGAGGTTCGTACACAGGAAAATATTAAAATAAAAACTCATATGACCTTATTCGCTTTTCCATTAGTTTAAATTCTATTGACTAATTAAATATAAACAAAACTTCATTTATGTATTACCATTTTGGTATTATTATTATGATTTTGTTAACAAAGTAGATAGTAATGAAGTAACACTCAAATTAGAACATATATATATTTTTTCTCTTCCTGTTATGAATATGAATAAGATTTGTGAGTGGGTTCAGTTTCTTTTATTTTTAATCTTCCTATTCATAACATTTTATCTCTTTAAAGTTTTCAGATGTAATTCATTTATACTGATACTAGACATGCTCTCACTATATTTTTATGTGTGTACGAATGTATATGTATATGCGTGTGAGTGTGCGCATATTTGTATGTGTGTGTGCGTGTGTATGTGTTTTTTTTTAATCTTAATCTATGTCTTCATATATAAAGTACATAATTTTCTATCTTTTTACAATTTCATTGTGATTATCTACATTTAAACATTTTTAAAGAATAGATTTAAATGATTTTTTACTTCAGTTAGTTTGTTTTATATATGATAATGGTTTGCCTATAAAGTTGATTGAACGCTCCTGTCTAATATCATTTAATTTTTTTTTTTTTAACAGCTATATAGCAATATTGTAACCCTAATAATCATCTGGTTTCGTTAACAGATCTCCAAAATTATGTATACTTTTGTCTTATTATTTATGCTTTAGTTGCTCTTAATTGTAATAGGTCTCTTGGCCAGATTTATAGATTATTTGCATATACAATATTGTTATTCTTAATGGGCTTTGTCCCAGAATATAGATGATTTTTTATATCTATTTAAATATCAATGTTAATTTTGTCGGTGATGATCACAGTGATTTCATTATTATTTTCGTTTGCGTTAGTAAAATCTTACAAAATACCAAACATCAATTCACACAGAGAATATGCAAATATATTGTTTGTTTATAATTTTTGCATTGGGAGTTCTATAGCTTCTGCTGAGCAATATCTATTTTTGTTTTGTTTTTATTCTCTTTGTTTTCCTTTCTGCCATA